TTGCAAATTTTTCCAATAAAATTGTATTACGGATAAAACAAATAATTTCAACATTGTTTTCAATCGGAGTTTTTGGTTGTATTTGCAGCAGAATGTGTACACACTTATAAGTACGAAACTCATTGAGTTGTAATTTCTAATTTTAAGAGGATATTTTTGTTTGTATATCAAGTGATTATATTTTTTTCCATTAAGAGGAAAAAACTAATGTAAATTAAAAACTTAAAAAATATTTTCATTGATTTCATTATAAAGAAGTCACCTTGCGGTTATAGAAATGGTTTTACTGTTACAATTTAATCAACTGAACGTGTACACTACTGCGCTGAATAAAAATAAATTGATGAAAATTTGTTGTTAATTTTTTGTATTGTGTATTTTTTTTTCGGGCATATATGTATATATACATATATATATATATGTATATATATATAGTTCTATATATATATATGATTTTTCAACAATTACAAATTTTGTATTGCTGAATAAAGTGAATCCACGAAAATTTAAAATTCACATTAACACATAAGTTATTTTAATATAATATGAATATGGTGCATGAAAATTTGTATATAAATGCATATATATATGGATTAAAGATTATTTTATAATTTTTGTTATAATTAATTATTATTCGCAAAAATTTTCTTTATATAGTAGACTTTATCTTTGACTTCCAAATTTCATTGACACTATGTTATCATTACATACATAATTCAGCAATTTGTAAGTATATTTACAATATTATTTTAAGCACCAATATGGCTTGGTATATCAATATTTGCTACAGAATTTATTATTTAACAAACAAAATGTAACAGTAATTGTCTCTTTATCCATAAAGTATATATGTAATTTAGTTTTAAATAAATCAATTTGTAGAAATCCTCGACTTTCAAAATGGTCTAATACGGTATTTGTACCCGATTCAGCTTATAGGTGTAAATTACTGAATTGTGTGTTAATACCATATTACTGTATTTTATATCATGTCAAAGACTTCTCCTGAATTTATTAAAAATTATATAGTTCTAAGAAATAAATTATCAATAGATCGTTTCTATATTGCTGAGAAAAATTCAAGATTTTACCGACTATTTTTTTATGATTTGTATTGATTGATGTATACATGTATGTACAATACCTTATACATATACATAGGATTTCAAAATTGCACACTAATCCAGTATTTAATACAAAATTTAGGTTATCATTTATAATTGCTGAACTGTGTAGCAATGCACCCTGACATCGGAATTATATTAATACCGTATCGATACACAACCCTGTAAATGACACTTATAAGCTGAATTCTGCTTTAAAACAATATTATTACATTTCCGATCTAAGGGGCTTCAGTATTACTGAAACTCTGAAATCATGTATAATGAAAAATACTGTTATATGATACATACATTACACTGAAATTGAATGTACAACATGGCATATAAATTATATTCGTCAGTAAATGAATATTGTAATTTTAATTTACATTAATACTTTATTTATGTAAAAATCCAACTGTTTAAACATAATTGCTGAATTGTGCATGTAATAGTTATGAGATTTTGAAAGGCATAGATATTTCATAGCGTTAATCTTTTGTTTATACTAATTTTTTTTTAATATCACTTAAAATTATTTTTATATTTTATGCATATGAATTTTTTTTGTTATTTTTTTAAAATTTTAAGTATTAAATTTTTGTGTTTTTTTTTTGTTCTATTTGTGTAATATTGTATATAAACATTTATATAATGACTAAATTTAATTTTTGTATATGTAATGTGTGTGCATGCACAATTAAGAAAACGCCGACAAACATTTTTTTAAAAAAAGGGCGGCCGTATTTAACGAAATATAAAAACTATAATCTACTTCATTTGAAAAAAAAAACTTGTACTTTGGTAAAAGGACAATTTTAAAATTTAGAAAAGTCCTACGACTTGCAAAATTCTAGCAACGTAATATGGTATCCAGAAAGGTAATTCAGTTTATAAGATATACGTAATTACTGAATTGTGTAACAGCACGGTATTACAACAATTTTGAGTTCATAGAAAAGTAGAAAATTATTTGCAATATTTAAATTATTATATTGAATGAATATACAAAATTAATTTTACAAAAAAAAAGAGATAAATTGCTTAATATTAGTAATATAGCAATAATGAATAGAATGAAATTAAAACAGACAATTCTGCTGTTATGTTCGGTTAAGTTAAAAGCGTAAAATGAAAGAACACGGGGGTACCAGAAATGAAGTGAGGGTTTGATTTTTTTAAATTATGCCTTTGATATGTTTACGTTATTGTTTTCTGTTTTCTTTTTTATATTCTTCTAAATTATTTTTTTAATTTAACTTATTTACTCGTATATTTCAGTAATTTTAATTATTTCCTTCACATTTCCTGCATATTTTATTTAATAAAATTTTTTATTATTTATTTTAATAATATTTCTTCCACTTGATAGTATTTCATTAATATTATACTAAGTCTATGAGAAAAAACGTGAGTTCATGAGAATTAGTAGACAGCAAAAATAAATAAAAACTTGATACAAAAACAAAAATACTCCCTAAATTTAGCTTCAGTAAATAAATTGCTGAGTATTAACAACCCATTACTATATGGTACATCAGCGGTGGGTAATAAGTTTTTAAAGTAATTTTTTTAAAATTTAGAACAAAATTGGTTTTTTCTTCACCAGCACAACTACAAATTGCTGAATAAAAGTGTTTTTTGTGAAAATTTCAAATTAAATTCTCCGTTTCGAATTCGAATTATACAATATTATTGTATTATAACACAATTCAAAATTCCGCTAACAAGTGTATAATGTAAAGTGATTTCCGTATATATAGAAATACTGTATTATGTTGTATTATATATACATATGTGTATTTATTCCGTGACTTGTAGAATATTACTATACATAATTCAGCATTTTATGAATATGTTTTACAATAATTGCTAGTAATATTTTACAATATTAATTAAACATATCGTAATTTTTTAGTCATGGATTTTTTTTTATATGAAATATTTTTTTTCCAGCAATTTTGAATTGTGGTGCTGAATACAATAATATAATTTTTAGTATATTATTTTTTAATCCTATCAAAATTCTTTATTATATTTAATCACTGTTTTATTTGTATCTAGCTATAACAAATAGAGAAGGAAAATAATTAAATTATTGAAATTCACGTTATCATTGATTCGCATTTTCTTCAGATGTCTTGATTTCAAAATTACAATATCAGTGCCTTAATATACAATTCAGATTATGAGGTCTAATTACTGAATTACATATAAATGCAGTTTTAATGAATTTTGAAAAAAGTTATAACTTTATTTTAAATACTTATATTAATTTCTATATTTTTTTCATATTTTGCTCTATAATGTAAGGAATTATTTTATGCATATTATATATATGTATGTATACTACAAATTTTGATCTACAACGTAAATATAAGAATGAATGTATCTTTAATTCACTTTAAAATTATATGTATATGTATATACATATATATATATGAATTATATAAGTATCTATATATAAATAGACTGTGCAGTTTTACATTTACTTAGAATTACATTAATTATTTTTTTTTTACTATTCAATTTTTTTATTTTTGAAATTCTTATATTTAAATATCTTAATTATATAACATTAAATTAATTTATTATTATTTATGACTTCGAAATCAGGGTAAAATTGTATTTAAACACAATTCAGCCCATTAGTTTTAATTGCTGAATTGTTTATTAATACTATAATACCACAATTTTGAAATCAAGGTATTTAGTGAACGTAAAAAAAAAACTAAAAAGAAAAATATGTTTATTTTATTTACAAGATATGAAAATTGTTATAGATATTGATTAGAATCTTCTGTAGTTTTCTAAACTGAATAATTATGGTTACATTGTTAATAAATTACATAGAAGAAAATAAATGAAACTTTCATTTTGAGCGAAACAAATTAAGTTAACATACAAATAAAATTTTTTCACGCATATTTTGCAAGAGATTTCAATAAAACAAGTAAAGTTTTGCCATAATTTAATACCCGGGCATTTTAAGTTAAATTTCAATTTGATTCAAAATTTTTAAACTCGGCTTTTGCATTAGGCAGAATTTCGAATTTTAAAAATTAAATACATCGAGTTTCAAGTGTGGAATCCTCAATAATAATTTCTGAAATTAGCTCTATTTAATAAAAGAACAGATGGACCGACAAACATAACTAGATCGACTTTGAATTTGATACTAAACCAGTTTATTATATTTTATGCTGTTGCAAATACTTCTTCTTGGTTGAGAAAAAATCTCTTGCAAATTATTTGGTTATTTGCATTTGTTATATTTATTATGCAATTATAAAAATTTCTATATATATACATATATATAGAATGACCGATATAATATATAGCTTAAGTGCGTATGTATATAATAAAAAAAAATAGTTTTTCCAAAATTTTCGGGGGTCAGACATACAAACATATTATGTAACTAATATTATGTATATATTTTAGATATATTTATATATATATATTTAAATATTTAGATACGTCGAAATTGAAGTAATTCTGCTACATAATTCAGCCGTATAAGCTGAACTTTTAAGTGGAATTTTATAAAAAGACAGTATTATATGGCGAATTTCTAAATAAGGGATAATCTTCTCTGCCATATACTCCCTTATAAGCAGGTAAAATGCTATATACAGGTTGTTTTGCATAAGGCGGCAAATAATTTCGAAATTGTTGCAAATTGTATAGGTGTATGAAAAATGTCTTTCTCATGTTTTTTGGAGACATTTAACACGTTTTACTGGCAAAACTATGAAAGATAGAGGAAAATGTCATATGAGTCAACTTGTAGCCCTTATCGTGGCGCATCACCCTCCGCCGCCCCCCTTCTCCCCCTATCCATACATCTTTTTTCTGGAAATTGATCAAAGTATCATCCCTAAAATTATTTGCCATCTTGTGCGCGAAGCATCCTGTATATATGCATATATATATATATATATAAATGTATATGTGTATGTTTATATATCAATTGATTAAAATATATAATTTACATAATATACATAATAGAATTGTATAATATGCATGTATATTATAGAATTGTAACATATGTGTGTTTATTTTTACATTACTATATTGATATATTTTAATTATCGAGAGATGTTGTTGATAAGTCCTCTGGTGTTGATTTCATATCTATTCTATCCATTAAATTATTATGTTGCTGCTGTTGATGATGATGATGCTGATGATGTTGATGATGTTGTTGTTGTTGTTGTTGTTGTTGTTGCTGTTGATGATGATGTTGTAATAAATCGATTGTATGATGGGGATTTAATATACTATTGCCACCATTAAAACGATGATGATGATGATGTTGATGATGATGTGAATGATGTTGTTGCTGTTGTTGTTGCTGTTGTTGTTGCTGCTGTTGATGATAATTTCTTTCTAAATTTGCTGCTAACATTAATTTTTCTGTTTGTGACATATATTGTATTGAACAATGTGATGGTAATCCTGGTATTGTTGGTGTTGATGGTGGTAAACCAATATTATTTCCAGATAATAATCTATATAAATTTTTAAATATATAGTCATTATGGATTAATTAGAATTAAAGTTATCAATGTTTTTTGTAAATATAAGGTATTAAATATTTATATATGGAGTTGTTAACCTACTTTTGCCTGACCATTGGTGCTGTGGTTATGGCACCGGCCCTTTAACCGAAGGGTCTCGGGTTCAAACCCCGGTCAGGTCACTATAAAAATTACACTCAATATTATTATAACAATATAATTATACAATACTTATAAATATAGTATAGAAATAATTTTCCTATATTCCATAATATTCGATATTAAAAAAAAAAAAAAAACTAAGAAAAATAAATAATAAATACTAATAACCTTAAATATAATATACTATAAAAAACTACGGCAGGTTATAGTCACCTAGTTAAAATTCTATGACATAATGAAACTAGGGCATGAATCTAGGATGTCATGGCCTAATCCTATGCTTCTCCTAGGAGTGGGGAAGAAAAAAAACCTACTTTTGCAGTTTTCAATTGCATTCTTTATACCCTAAATTGCAATTAAATTGTATTTTACAAAATTCTGATTTAAACTGTTATATATTGAGTAAATGTTACTATCATTTACTGTACACAATTATTAAATTGCGTGCAATGATATATATATCTACTAATATTAAAATTCCAATGTTATTATTCGTAATACAATTTTGGTTTCTTATTTCCCTCTCATGCTCCCTTTTCTCTAATTCTAAAGCGCATTTTATGCATAAATATGCATGTCACAACATTTATGTAGTGCGATAATATTTTAATATTATTACATTCCTTCCCCTTAACAAAGATAGTTTATTCACTTAAGATTAGTTTTATTTAACTCTGACAGACTTCAACTTTAAAATTATAATATTATCCAATTTAAGAGACATTTCACTCTTTCTCTTAAGCTGAATTGTATATAAATGCGTTAAAAAAGTAATTTCAAATTACATAAAAATTTAAAGTAATTTCAATTTATGTATTAAAATCAACGGAAGTTTTAAAACACGCATGAATTTAATGATGTTGGTTCATTATACAATTCAGCCTATAAGTTGTAATTGCTGAATTTTGTACAGTGATTTTAAATTTATAATTATGCAAATTATAATAATTCAATTTTTTTAATTTTGATATATTATTTTGATTTTTTGTATAATTATACATTAATATATAATTGAATATAAATACCTTGCATCACGATTATCATGAGCTCTATCTAGCAACTGAATTCTATAGGCATCTTGATTTTGTCGCATGAAGTTTGATATCGGTGTATTGGATGCTAAAATAGGAACATCATCTAAAGATATTGATGGGCATGTCCATATATTCTGTATAAACAAAACGAAAAAAAAAAAGTATATAATTTTCAGCGTGGCATTTCAAATTTTTTTTGACACTATATAACATTCGGTCTACAATTAATTGTAAACGTCAAATTAATTCTCAGCTTTGCTTTTTCTTTCATCATGGGGAGATTTTCGATGAAACAACTCTTTTAAATTATTAATACCTAACAAAAATATTAATTGAATATTGCAGTTAATGACGCATAATGCGAGCCACTGGCATCATGCGATTTGACGCATCCTCTGCGTACATTATTTTGTCCTCTGCGTACTTTGTCTCAAAAAACTAGTACGGAGAGCTTTAGCGTAGTAGTTTAAGCTTATCATTAACACCAAACAAATTTATTATGTTTTATTAAAGTTTGAATTTGAGATATTTGATTAACAAAACTCTAAATTTAATTATTTTATACAAATTTTTAGATATCCGACAAGTTTTCTATAGAAATCAGAAAACCTAAAATAAAAATAAGAAAAAACGAAATAATTTTCAAAACAAAAATCCTATCGAAATGAAAGTAGTAAGAGCCTTTCGAAATCAGTTATTTGTTTAAAATTAATTTCAAATCAAATTTCGTTTCTGAAAGCAATTTTATTTCTTGGCAATTTATTTTTAATTTTAAGAACAGCAACTATAGAACAAAATTTTATAAATAGGATAAATTATAAGAATATAATATTATGCATTTAATGAATGAAACGAAGTAATTCATATTTCAATTCAAATAAAATCAACTAGCGTACTATATTTTTTACATTTTATAGGTTTGTAAAAAATTTTACTTACGATTTTACGGAATTACATTCAAAATAAATTTCAATAAACTTAAAATCTATGAATGTACTCGCCGGTTACAAAACTTTGCGTTTATATTTCATATTAGAAAAACAACCGCTTAAGTGTTTTCAGTAGTATTTCGATACAAGCTTTTAGTAATATGAAATTTTAATATTTGATATGTTTCTTTCGCTGTAACGCTTTTAATAATAAGACGTTCTAAATTTAATATTTTTTTTAGTACAAGTGGTTTTTGTAATAACAATACAAATGACATTTCCATAAACAAATGCAAATAATGATAATTTTTTAGTATAAATGCAAAAAAGTAAATGAAAGTCTCGTGGGTTGGGCTAGCTGCTATACTACAATTTGTCAGGCGCCTAGATATAATGCTAATGTAGTTGATGGTAAGAATCACAAAAGAAGTGAGAAAAGCAACAGAAAATAACAACACTGCAGTCTCCGGACACTAACCTTCACTCAAAATTGTAAACATAAATATTTTTTTAATCTTCTGAAACATTGAATGAAAAACAATTTTTTTTTTTACCTGTAAATTAGATGAGAAATTATCATTGCCATATGTCGGTGAATTTGACACTGATCCATGATGGGGCCCACTTCTGCAAAAAATGTGTATTTTTTTTTAGAAAGGACAAGAATTTAATAATAATATTTTTCAGTTTAATTTTTGTTTGATGAAGGAAAAATATTAGAAAATAGAAAAAAATGTTTTTTTTTTTTTGGAAAATATTTAAAAATATTTTAAAAATTGAAAAATATTTATAAATTTTAAAATATTGAGAATTGAGAAGATTTAAAAGAATTGAAAAAGAAATATTATTTTGTTTTCATAAAATTTTTAAAAATATTTCAAAAAAGATTGGTAATAAAAATTTAAAAGAAAAGAATTTACAAATTTTTTTTTTTTTTTTTTTTTGATTCAAAGAGGAATTAAGACGGTTAGTAATTAAAATTAAAGAAAAGTTTTTTTTTTGAGTTTAATTTTTTTAAAAATTTAAAGCTATTTGAAAAAAATATTAATAAAATATTGAAAATGGAAAAATATATTTAAAATCGAATTGAAAATGGATTCAAAGATTTGTGACTTTACAGAAGATTCGTTGAATAATTTACGAGTATAAGAAGAATTTTGTAAAATCGTAAATTATTGCAATTTTAATTTCAGGATTTTATTTAAGAATTTACATTTAAGAGTTAAACTGTGAAACCAATTAATTTTATGTATATTATAATGGTCGTAAAAAATTCAAGAATTATGAAGGCAATTGCAAAATTCAGTTTTTAATTTATAATTTTGTCGTCATGGTGATATATATATACGAGTACCAATAACACTGACATATTTCGAAATTTGAACATTTGAGAAAGTTTAATTTTAAAGTTTTTGAATTAATATTTTACTCAGCATTTCTTTCAAATTTATTGTAAGCGACTATTTTTACAGCTACTAAGTAGAGAATTAAAGGTTTTGTAGAAAAAGGAATTTTTTTAAGTGCTTATTTTGCTTGTAAATAACCACAAAAATCGTCACTCAACTGCAGCACATGAGCTGCATTTATATTAAAAATATATTATAAATTCATTTTCAATCCGATATTATTAAAATTAAAGTTTTTATTTTTAAAATAATTGAAAACTTTAAAATTAAATTATTTTTAATGAGAATAACAATTAACAATTAAAAAAAACAAATAAGAATTGAAAAATAAAAAGAGAGAAAAATATAACAAAATTTCTTTTGAAAAATTCTTTACTTTTTTATATTTTGAATAAAAAAAACGTCTTGGACAAAAAAAAAATCTCTCGTTATGAAATTTCGTAATAATATATAGTTCACCATTTCTTGAAAATAGTGAGAATATTGTATTCATATACAATTCAGGAATTAGATCTCATAAGTTGAATTGAGTATTAATGAAATTTTGAAATCAGAATTAATTTACTATAGTTCAGTTTATGAATTTAAACAGCTGAATCATTGATTATTACTCAGTTGTTAACATTCAGCATTTTTCTGGTAACTTTTATTTTTCATTTTATTCATTTCAATTCAAAATATTTTTGTATGCGTATCTCATACAAAATGGAGTTAAAAATTCATTTAATTAATTTTTTATTAATTTCAAAAAGTATATTTTTCTATATCTTAGAAAAGTACTCATTCTTGGTTAACTCTTGATGTTAGTTAGTGATGTTTATATAAGGTGTTTAATTAAATATTCCATCATCTTTACATAAATGAATCTACTCTAATATAAAAATTGCATTAATACTGTATTAAAATACAATTCAGGTTATGAGCTATAGTTGCTGAATTGTATATTAATACCATAGTAGTGCAATTTTGAATATTTTTCATTTTGTATTTGATTTTTTTTTTTTCAATCACTTCTTTTTTTAGTAATTGAAGTAGTTGTTACAATTTAGATAAATAAATATATTATATGTCATCTGTATGATGGGATAATTGCGCGAAAATTTTTGAATTTTGTTGGAAAGTGGCCAGAAACTTTCGCAAAAGCTAAAGAATTTTTCTGTCAAAATGAATATATAAAATGTTATTGAAATTTAAATTGAAAATAAAGTAATCATATGATATGAAAAAAAAATTTGTACATTAAAAGAATTAAAAATTTTGTGTTTATATGTAAATTAAAGTAAAATACAATAAGAGAAAAAAGAAAAGGGTAATAAAACAAAAAAAAAAAAATGAAAGGATCTTCGTTTCTCATCTCTTCTTGAATTCTCGTCTCTTCCTGATTTCACACAATATAGGTCTGCTGAATTGAGATGTGCTTAAATAAGTTATAATTCCAGAATTAACACTAATATAGTGTCGGTCATTTTAAAATTGCACTATTTAATTGCAAAACTGTAGTCATAACCTGAGTTTCGTATACCCTATTTCTGACAGTTTATCTGTTAGAGAATTTTATATTAATTAATTTACTACTCTTCTCTTACGAAAACAAATAATAGTAAGGAGTTCTCTCCGGAACTTACCATACTGATTTTTATTAATTAAAAATTAATTCGTTTATGTGACATATAAATTTGGCTTTCTTGTTTTAAATCTTAAAATCTAAATTTATTTAGACGGTTGTTGGTGTTGCCATAACATAAACATAACAGCGGTATAACCTACCGCATTGTTAAAGTGTTGAATTGGATTATGAAACTTTCCGTTAAATACTTATTTAAAAATTCTATATAATCATTATTTATTAATTCATTTTTCATGAAATGTAGGCATAATGTGTACCCAGAAAAATTTAAATTTAGTTCTTAGTATTATTCATCCGTGATCCGATTTTCTTCCAAACTTAGTTTCGTTTAACAGCCACAGAACCCAAATACTAAATTTCAAGAAACTCTATTAGTTCCTGAAATATGTGAAATAATATGCAAAAACCGACCTTTAGGAAAAAATTTGTTTTCGAGTTTCGAAAAAATTTACTGGTTCATTATTTTAACAAATAAAGTTTAAATATCAAATTTCAAGAAAATTATGTTTTATCAATTTTCCTGCAAAATAAGCAAAAATGTAAAATGTAAAATAAAAACTTTCATTAAAATCGGTTCGAGTAATATTAATCTGCACAGACCCAAAATGACAGATGGACGTACAGACAGACATACTTAGGAGCATAGCGCATATGATTTTAAATTAATAATTTATTTAACATAATAAAAATTCGAATTCGCATCAAAATAATAGTAACAAAAAAAATTGCATACTTTTAGCATAATACAAAAATTGCATACTTTTTCGTTCAGTATTTTTTAAATAAGAAAATGAGGATCCTTTCCTTATAAAAATTTTAATTATATTAAAAAAGACATGCATACGAGTACATGTAAAATTTAAAATTTTGTTTGGGATTTTTTATTACTTTTTAGTACACCTTATTGTCAATAGTTATATAATTTAAAAATATTATGTACCTATATGTAGTATAACAATAAACTCTAGGATTGTTTTAATGGGTTATAAATTAATATTGAATAAAGTTAAAAAATAAATTAAAATTTGTACTTACCTTTATTTTTATAAAATTTTTTTAACTCATTTACATTTTTTTCCTACTTTAGCCCTAGGAGGAGCATAGGGCTGCTTTATGATATCGTAGGAACTTCCGTATTCTGCTAAAATATTATAAGTTTATTCCGCTCAGAACTCTTTTAAAAATTAATCAGTATAACTGAAACCCCGCGATCAAAAATGCACGGTTGCGTAGTTTAAACTACAATAATGTCATTTATGGCAGCTATTTCAATTGTTACTTGTATTAATTTAACTACTAAGATTTTTTTTGAATCACATTCAACATTTTTGTACATATTATAAATATGTTTATATAAAAGTTGCATGTTATTGTTAGAAATTATTGTTTGGTTCATTTAACCAATCGCATTGCATACAATAAGGGTTCTTGCAGATCTGTATCTCAAGTTAATTGAATCAGTACATGTTACAATAACCGATATTCAAATTAGGATGAGTTCTTTTTTTTAATTTCTAAAAATTCAACAATACCGATTTTTGAGTTTTTAGAAGATGCTGAATACCATTAATATTTGTGATATTAAAAGGATTTTAATTATTTTCACAGCGCGCCGGTTAACGTCACTAAATTCTATGCATTTCTCGATGTGATATTAATCGATCTCTACTGTATTGAATTTATAAAAATTTCGGGCTCTACCATATTTCATTGAAAAAAATTAAGTTTAACTCATGTAACTTTCAAGAAGCGATTCACTCTTCATCCCCTCCCTTTCCCCCCCAACATCTCGTTTGTATATATACGTATATGTAAATATTGTTTAATCTCGGATTTGTAAAATATTGCTGCGTTATTCCTTTGTTATATGTCTTACATGTTTGTATATCTCATTTTACTGAATATTTTTTATAAACCATTTTGTTTTAAAATGTAAATGAGTAAAATAATTTTATTAGTGTATGTAAGTACGTCTAATTATTGATAGAGCATAAAAATTAAAACACATACGCTGTTACATATATATACAAGTTTATTATATATGAAAACCATATCATATAATTTTATTAAGCAAAATAGACCATGACAACTTTATTTTTGATATTGATTTCTCTTCACATTGTACTTTACATATACGTTTTTAATAGCTAATATTTTAAGATTAGTGCGTATCACAAGTATATTATGGTATCATTCGCACCATTCACTCCTACTTTTCTACATAAACTTGAAAATATGTGGAATTTCTTTTAACCTGCTCTTTGTCATTCAAAATTATTTCTCATTTTTTTTTTTAATTCTTTTCTTTGTTACTTTCCGGTGCATTAAATAACATTTCCTGAGTCTATCTTAAATATTTTCATTAAATATACAGGCTCTGTTTGTGGCACTAGAGCTTTATGAGTACTCCCACAGAAATAACGAACAATTTACTTTCTATTTCATATACAAATATTTTTTAAACTATACCGAATTCTATACCGTGTAAATCATATAGAACACCAATAAGTATGCACATGGCAACTAACTTGAGATAATTAGTTAATTTCTAAAATTATTACATTAAAATTAATATTCCCCTTCCCTTTCTATAT